GAGAGAGAGAGAGAGAGAGAGAGAGAGAGAGAGAGAGAGAAGATGGAGATTTACCTGCTGCTTCGGTTGCTTATACGACTTTCTGGCGTAGACTTTCAAAACTCTGCAATTGCAGGCGACGGACAGCGCCACAGCTAGCCCCTGTGCAGCATTATCGGTCGGTCGGTCGATGGATCAGCCATGAAAAAAAGAAAAAGGCGAAAAGACATTCAGAAGAGAGGTTCAGGTGCGATGCGTTGGAACGTTGCCAGCTCACTCGACCGATGCGACGGTGCACCACCGAAACGCCGAGACAAATTGTTCTTGGTGTGTATATAAATGGCCACTCGCTTGATATACATATACGTGTATATATATATATATATATATATATATATATATATATATATATATATTGTATATACAGAGTGAATAGAAAAAAAGGATTCATAACTTCTAGGATAGATAGTACTCGTCGAAATGTGAAAAAAAAGTCTTAATAAACATGAGCCGAAAAATTAATAGTTTCACAGTTATAAATGAGTTTTTGTTTTGTCAAGTTGTAAACGACGTGTAATGTAGATACATATAAATATAAATATAGGTATTAAATAAATATAAATATAAATAGGTATCAAATAAATATAAATATAAATATAAATAGGTATCAAATAAATATAAATATAAATATAAATAGGTATCAAATAAATATAAATATAAATATAAATAGGTATCAAATAAATATAAATATAAATATAAATAGGTATCAAATAAATATAAATATAAATATAAATAGGTATCAAATAAATATAAATATAAATATAAATAGGTATCAAATAAATATAAATATAAATAGGTATCAAATAAATATAAATATAAATAGATATCAAATAAATATAAATATAAATATAAATATTAAATAAATATAAATATAAATATTAAATAAATATAAATATAAATATTAAATAAATATAAATAGGTGTCAAATAAATATAAATATAAATAGGTGTCAAATAAATATAAATATAAATAGGTATCAAATAAATATACATATAAATATAAATAGGTATTAAAGAAATATAAATACAAATATAAATAAGTATTAAATAAATATAAATATAAATAGGTATCAAATAAATACAAATATAAATAAGTATTAAATAAATATAAATAGGTATCAAATAAATATAAATAGGTATCAAATAAATATAAATAGGTATTAAATAAATATGAATATGTATTTAATACGTATATATATTTTGAGAAATACATATATGTCCATCTATTAGAAAAAAAAAAGCAACTTCCAAGCCAATCTTTGGCCAATCCAATAGAAAATGATAGTAGTTTCGACAGTGACAGTGATTTTTTCCCCTGACAAACGACGCGAAAGCAAACATGATAGCTTACAGCAAATTCTGCTTAGTACACCTCTCTCCACGAGGTGAAACATTTTCTCGATTACCACACTAAAAAAAAAAAAGAAGAAGAAAGAAAAAAGAACACTAGTATTATCATTAGTTGCATTCATCAATTTTGAGCAAAAGATTTTGTTCAGAACCTTTCGTTCGAAATTGGAAAAAATGTTCATCGCCTTGAGAACGAAATGAAACGAATTCATATTTTCCAAGCACGCGCGAGAACTGAGGATAAAAAGAAATCCTCATTTCGCGGCACACCGTCGACAACGACCGTCTCGTTTGAATATAATGGCAAATAACCGGTTTTCCTTCGTTAAGAACCGACAACTGAGAAAAAGTTGTCCAGTTACGTTGGATCACATTGCATGGAGTTGACGAAACTTTTCTGTCCCGATCGACCGAACTGAAAGCGTCGTCCCATTTCATTTCGTTCGTTATCTGCCTAAAGAGACCACACGCCAACGATATTTCAATTTGTGCTTGTGAAAATGAGCCACGTTATCACGCGGCGACGATGAAAACTCTCCTCCTCTTTAAGGAGGTATTTTAGTGCGAACTTTTGAAAAAATCGACTCTTTTTTGCACATTCTTAGAGGACATAGTTTTAAAAATAAATCTCTGTAAACCTGACACGCAAACTCTTAAAATTAACGAAGTTATGGTTGTTTGACGGGAAAACTCTCCTCCTTTTTTAAGGAGGTATTCTAGTG